CTCATCCAAGTCATTGATGAATAGATGGAATTAATTATTCACCCAGTCAACTGTTACACAAATCGGGAAACAAAGAGTTTCCAGGCTGCAAGTTTATGAATACACAGGGCAAGAATGAGGACAGTTTTACAGAAGTAATGGGCACAGCAGAAGGAACCAGCATCTATTTGCTCCCCATACCAAAGTTTTGGGGGTTTCACTTTTTGGTCTTTTTTTTGGGAGGGAGAGGGTGTTGGTTTTTTAAGTTAACATTTAGTTCCTTTGTATTTTAATTCTCACTGAACATGCTATACAAATTCCCAGATCAACCGTATTTAGATGTGAATTCAGTAACAGAATTCAAAGACGAATTTTAAACTTGTGTCTGAGCACCTCAGCTGAGGGGCAATAATGCAGTGTTAATAGACAGTTTAGTAAAATCCTGATCAGATTTCCATTCTGGCAGGACTGTGATTCAGCCGACACTTCAGGCAGACACCTTGACCACTCTTCACTGTTGTAGTTGCCTTAAATTACAACACATTTACTAAGACACACTTGCCAAAAAAGGGTATTCTTTCCTGGCTAGTTCAATGTTTTTGAAAAACATGCAAATGGATTTTAGTTCCTATTAACAAAGACACTAACCTCCTAAATTTTACAGTGGTTCAAAGTTAAGGACATGCAGAAACAGGACATTAAATATTATCAATATTATATTTAATATATTTAAGCTGTTTGTCTTTTACAAACCTAATTCTATTTATTAATTCTTTTTTAAGGCAAGACTCCTCACTTAGGGTACAGTGGGTACAATGCAGTAAGATATTTCACAGACATTTATCCTTAATAGTGCCAAACAGCAAAAAAATGCAGTAAAATTCAGACTTCTCAGGTATCTTCCCTCTTTTTTGCCATGCAACATAAAAAAAAAAAAGAAAGAAAGATTGTAGTCTCCCCTCTGACAAGAATTCAGCAGCGATGCAATAAGCAGTGTAACAGGGTGACTGAGGTGCTTTTTGAAAAACGAGAATAAATCTGTAAGTTAGGTATGTTTGGGGGTTATAAGATAAAACCATTCTGAAATTGGTACTGCTCATCTGACAAGAAGTTTCAACCTATGACTTCCCTCCCCTCCGCCAAAAGGAATTTTCAGAAGAACTTGTAAAATGCACTGAAAAAAAAGTAACTTTTTAATGCAGTCTGTAGAATTTTAAAGCAGAAATTTTTACTGCTTAATTTTTTTGGAGCATCTTTAAATAGAGTGGCACTTCTTCAAACTTTTTGCAATGCAGTCCAATTAAAATACTAAATAAAATGTTCTAAAGAGAGTAAATAATCTTCCCTCCAAATACACACATACATTGAGTGTTTAAATCCATTCACTTCAGAACATCTTGGAAGTACCAGAAGTTAATGATTGCCTTTGAGATATTCTCTTTGCTACCATTAAAACACCTCCTAAAGGATACGGTGAACAAAGGAAGGAAAGGCAACTTTTACTTCCTTTTTTTTCACTTTTAAATTAACAGCTTTAATTATGTTTGGTTATGTATATTACTTCAGCCCATTTAGAAAGTACTTCCTTTAGAAAACATTTCTTCCAAAACTGTTCTGAAAGATGTATTTTGGAAGTCTCCTAAAAGCCAAAATAACATCTACCAATGGATGTTACACCTATCTTTTAAAAAATTGTCTTAATTTATTACCAGTGAGTGGCTATGTAATGGTGGTTTTTAAAGAAATTAGTCAATATATTTTAAAAAAAATATTATATAAATATATTTGCATACTGAGGTAGCAGCTTGTAATTTTTTTAAGACTCTCTTAGAAAGTCCATTCTCTTCTCTCCATCCCTTAAGAGACACACGTACCTTCTTTGTCTTAGGATACTTAGTAGGGCATTTATTAAGTGCTGGAGCTTCCGTTTCAGTAACCATTTCTGTAACAACAGTTTCTGTTTCAGGCTCAGCTACCAGTGCAGCATTCTCAGTTTCATTATGTTGCGAAGTTACTTCCACATCAGGAGACGACGGCTGGATATCTGAACACATGCTGACAGTTCGGTGTCGTCTACGCTGTTGTCCTATGTGAGTTCTACTCCGTGAGAAGCTTTTCCTCTGTTTAGCTCTGTTAACTTTGGCTGGGGTAGGCTTGGTGGCAGTTTCTTCTTTTGCTGGTTCCTGGTACAAAACAGAAGTCCAGTAAATAGTCCCACACACATGTAAAGCTACATTATCTTTCTTAAAGCAAAATGTCAGATCACCCTTCCTTTACAGGTCCAAAAAGCCTCTCCTTCATTTTTATTGTTAAAGTAAAATACTTGGGAGATAGTATTTCTATTCTTCTTCAAGGCAAATCACAAGATTTCCTGTATTTTCCTTCCAAGCACCTGCTGTATCACTGACAGAGTATTCACACACACTAGTGACTGTGGTCAGATGACCACAGATCTGTGCAAGAACTGCCATACATTAGTTCATCTACAGCCTAGAAATCAGTTGCCTGCATCATGATGTCTTTCAGTCCAATATCCTTTTGTAATTATAGTTTACCAAGTGTTCAGCACTGTCACAAAAGGTATTTAACAGCATGCCAGCAGAAATTATCCCGGCAAATAACCTGAACTGGCATTCTCAGGAGCATTTGCAAGGTAAGAAGCATAGTAGCATCCAGCAACAACAGAGGAAAAAATTGTTTATGAAATGTTAAGTATCACCTGCAAGAACCCAGAACAAACTGTGTCTTAATAATTCCTCTCCTTTAAAAGAACACAAAGGATTATAATGAGTTCTTAAAATAACCCGCTGAAAAAGCAACTTGTTCTCCACTGGTTATAAAGGGTGCCTAAGGAAAGCCACCTCCTGTGGCTAAAGTCAGCGTCGGTAAACACCTCCCATCCTCAACCTCAAAGAAAGACTGAATTATACAGCTGGTGTGTGTGTGTGTGTGTGTGTGTGCACATTTGCATAAACTATTATGCAAAATATAATTTGCATAATATTCTATGCATATTTTCTTGAAAATATACCAGGATCTAATACATTCTAATGTGAAAGATTTTGGTCAAATATATTTGAGGTCAGAGAAAAAAAAAATAAATCTCACGCATCTTACAGTGCAGCTCAACATCCTAACCGGTAAAATATGCTACGTTAAAAGCCAGCTTTAAAATAAAGTTTCACATAATTACCTGAATAAATTCAGCATCATTGAGAATCTGTGCTTCCTTGCATTCCGATTTAACCTCAGTTTTTGCTGTGCTGATTCTTTCCAAAGCCTGTTCTCTTCTTTTTTCTCTTTTTTCTAGTCTGGCAAAGGCTTGCAGGATAGCTTCCATTTTCCGTTCTTCTCTTGTCTGATGGATTTAACAATAATCATGATCAAGTTTCAGTCATAATCCATTGCATATGTAAATAAAGATATTTTTTTAAAGTTCTTCAGAACATGTTCAGTGCATGCTGACATGCAGATCAATTTCAGCAAAAGTGCAAAGTAAATGCAGATGTTACAATGACTGCAATTATTACAGACTTCTGAAGAAAGGCTTGGATTCGTATCAGCCGTAACAAAGACAGTCCTGCTTTGGATTTAAGGACTTGATAAAAACAGTGCATTACTAGTAAATCACCAGCCTATAAGCATAAAAAGAACATGTAGCTCTCAGCCACTTACTTACATGTACGGCATTTAAAACACAATGAAACATGACCAGGGAGATGCAACATACTAACACATGTATGAAACGACACCAGAAAGCTCAATTACCCTCTCATCCAATCTTCCAGTGTCACAAACTACATCAAAACATGTAATCAACTTCCACTAATCACTATTGCAAAATAAGGTAACATTAGGTCACACAGAGAAGCTAGATTTTTTGTCCATCTGTAGAATTCAGGTCCTATGGCCACGCAGAGGCAGATCTCTTCACCTGCACACAGCTCTGCTTAAGACAACACCAAGGTGGCAGAATTGGGGGCTTCCATTACAAGCTTTTTTTTTTTTCCTTCAAATAAATGCCTGCAGCTTAACAGTGCATTGACAGCAACAACAAGTTCATATCAAAGAAAGAAGAATACCTGCAAATATATTGCTCATACGAGTGAATGAGGAACCCAATTTTGTTTTGCCACTGAACCTGCCTGTTTTGCTTGCTAAAATGCAGGCAAACTTGCAGTTATTTGCAAACCTCACAATGGAGCTGGAACAGTAATTACATCTTTAACTACTACAGCATCTCTGCTGTAACCAAGTTTCACAAAGAGGTTTGCTTTAGTCAGAATACAAATGTAAAGTGCCAAAAAACCCCGCGATCAATAAAATGGAAGTTCTAAATATTAGTATTTCATTATACAACTTGGCCAAGATTTTGATTTTACTACTAATTTCAAGTATCTCAAATTTCGAATGCTCAAGAAAAACCCCGCATTTTAAAATGCCAGTTTTCAGAAAACTGTTCTATACCAACCTCTGAAAATGAAGATTTCTGAGGCTTTTTAAGTTGGGAACTCAAAAAAATACCTAGTCAGGCAAAAATCCTGACTGGCAACACTATAACGTGGCCATTACAAATAACATGCAATAATAAAGAATAAAATCTAGATGATTTCTACACCATCCTTTTAAAAGGCAATAGAAAATCATATACATCTGAAGATAAAAGCAGTTTTTTGTCAGAAGCAATGATCAAGCCAGATGAAATGCTCTCAAATAGCAAGCCTTGCATTTTAATTGAAGTTCATGTAAGGACCTGATTTCATACATACTCAGATTCTGCAAGTCTACAAAAAGCCAGCAATTAGCACAGGAAGAGCAGGTGTCACGAAGCCTTAGTGACAACTCTAGGCAGCTACTTGCTTCCCGACTTACCATCTTCCTTTTCCTTTCTGCAATCTGCTCCTCTGATTCCATTTCTACTTCGTTGCTAATAGGAGTTTTTTCTTCTATATCATCAATAAAATCTGGCTCCTGAAAGATGGAAATGACTGCTTTACAAACTCCACTACAAACTAGGGAAAACGGAAAGCTACCCACAACTAAGAATCCTCAGTTCGCTACACCAGAAGCAACCAAGCCAATAAATCAAAACAAAAATGTGGAAAAAAACCCCAAACTAATATTCATTCATACTTTTGAATAAACTCATAAATATAACCACCTGACACGATCTCTTCCATTCTGATCTTACACATGCCTGTATCTTTTTCCTTTAGCACACTAATCTTATGGAAATTCTGGGGTTCCATCCCCACTCCAGCAACCAAAAAAAAAATTTAAAAAATCAGAATTAAACATTCAAACCAATAGAAGCTTTTGGGCAGTAACACTGACCACTGACCTAGCCAATTTACAATCAGTTGAAGAATCAGTTTTACATTACATGCTCATTAAATAAATAGAATTTGTTTTAGTGAAATAGAATGAATGTCAAAGGAGATGTTACCTGACAATTACATAGATCTCAGCTCCAAAGTTATTTCTATTAAAGAAATTATTTTCCATTTAAACTCTCCCTACAGAATCTAATGACACCCATTTTAACAGCTTTATTCTTCTCACAAAGTTCAGTTTTGCGAAACAGTACTAGTTTGCAATACTTGTTCTCCTGTGACTGCTCTCTATAAGCACTGTGTGTTATGTTAAAGGCTCGGAAGAAGGTTCCAGATACCAGTTATCACTTCATAAAACCAAAACACAAAACCACCAAAAAAAAAAATCATTAAAGATGAGAAAGTTCAAATGTTGGAGATCGTAAGACAGTCGCGTGCTTGGATCTCCAACCATTTTTAAGCTATTTAACTACTAAAACCCCAGAACAATTTGATCATTTTCTGAAAACTTGGGGTCAATACAGAATCACAGAATTGTTTAGGTTGGAAAAAACCTTTAGGATCATCAAGTCAAACCGTTAACCTAGCACTGCCAAGTCCATCACTAAACAGTGTCCCTAAGTGCCAATAATGACCATTTATCCTATTTCCTGCACTCTTAAGGGATGGTAAAAAAGATTAAGAACTTGGAAACTGCTCCCTCCCAGAAAAACTCCTCTCTCTCTGCTCCTAAATTATCATCAAAACCCATCATATATGACAAAAACAAAAAAATCACCACCACCTCACCCCCAAAAAGAAAGAAGAGACAGTCAGTTACTAGGGTAACCATCTTCCTATGTTAAAATATTTATCTTCAATAGCTGCTCTGCAAAATTAAGTTAATAATTAATGTCATGGATTTCTCCCACTACTTCTTTCAAACTGACATAGTAAAAGACTAATTTAAAATTGACTATCGTATTACCAGGTAGCTTTACTATACTTTCCACATATTGTCCCATATTTAGATTCAAAATACACCTTCCTCCTCCCCGACTCCCTAAAATCTATTTTATCTTCTAAACAATGCTGCAGCCAACACTTAAGTGTTCTGGGTTGAAGTGTTATTTTTTATAGGAGCACGGCTACTTATTGCAATGTTCGAAGTACAACACTCCTGGGTAACATATGCAACTGACCAACGGACACTTCAGGTTTGACTGGGAGCTCCCAAAAGCATGACATCAAGCTTTCATATTAGAGATCCACAAATACAGAGAAAAAATGTATACTTAAAACTGGTACAGGAACCAACATATCTTTAACTACAATCAAATGTTAAGGAAAACTGAGAACAGTATAAAAAAAATTCTAGACAGCTTATCCATCACTACCCCTTTTCAATGGGTTTCCTTTAGTAACTACAAAAGGAGAGGATTTGTGTTTAAAAGCTTCTCTATCATCTTTGTGTCAATACCTGATTATTCGAAATGGACAGCCTGAGGGGAGAGAGTTTCCTCTGTTTATTCTCTGCAATTTTCATTTTGGTGGCTGCTCCTTCACAGTCCAATGTGATGTTCTGATTCTGAGTTTCCTTTTCTCTTGAAACATCTTTCTCTTTCTTTCCCTTTTTCCTTCTGGTTTCATATCCAGTATTGATGTTTTCTGTAGGTTCAGAACGTCTGAGAACTGGACACTCAGGATTTTCTTTGAGGCAAGCACAATCCACTTTGTATTTACTAAAAGTAATTGCAAGAAGGTGTATTTTGATCAGGCTGTACAGCAATGAGACTTTTCGACACTAAATCACATAAGCTGATATATTTCACACTAAACATTTGCTATGATGCAAACCAACCATACTAAAGGCAGCTGACTCAAGTTTTCACCAAGATAAACGGTATTTCTAGAATCCAAAAATCTCACCTACTGATTGACAGAACTTGTGGCTGTTTGCCACACGGAATTCTTTTAAATACAAGGTTAGTAATTGCTTAAAAAGACAGCAGACATCTAAAACTTGAGCATATCCTGTGTGGAAATGTAACTGTCACATTCGAGAAATTAACAGGTGCATGGAAGGCAGAGTTCTTGATTTCACCATCAGATCTCTCAGGTGTCTGAATAACAGTTCCTATGTGTGAGTGGAAATTACCCAATTATTTCCTTTACCATGTCAAAACAATGCTTACAAATAATGGCACGAGTTTATTAGAGGTTAAAGAATTTACGGCACTAAGCAGTGTATTTGAACATTCTTAATCACATATTAAACACTATAAATAATTAAAATCCAGAGACATTGCCTTCCTGAAGTTATACTACAGAGGCACTCTGAAATAAGTAGGGCATTACTGAATAGTTCTAGATTTTCTTCCCTCTACTCTCCCCACACTACGGTACACCTATACACTACTATTTTTTATAGTACATCTTTATTCATATTCATCTATGTTTTTATCTTTTCCACATCATTGATAAGTAACTGCAACACCGTTAAAATTGGTAGCAGACATGCAGTAATAAAAAATAGAGAAGAAATCCTGCCCACGTACAGACTGTTCAGTGTAAATACACTGCTTAAGGAGCCCTGTTATTAAAGCATGCGAAAAAGCAAACGATGTAAAAACAAAGCCACTCTGAATTATAACATAACTCAAAAAGCATTAGATGTATTTTAGAAGAGCATGCTCAAATACTTACCAATTTCCATAATCAAAATCAAATGCTATAGTAATCTCTGCTCCCTTTGGAATGTTATGGATGGAGTAAATATAAAGATGAATAGTTCCATCTTCAATTACATGCCTTACCTATATTCAAGAGAATATCATTGTGTTATCATGAATTACTTTTTCTTCTCCCCCTCGCTCCCCCACCACCTTTTCTCCCCAAAAAGAATCTGAATAGAAACTGTAGTGATTGCTTAAGTTATCAGTTGGGACACTCAAGAAGAGACTTCTAAGAAAATAAAACCTAATTTATGTATATGCTCACCTCCGCATTTGGCGTACATGAACGCCTGATGAATCGAGCTTCATTTCCAAAAGTCCTTGCATCAACACACATTTCTAGTCCATGAAATTTGGAATAAAACAAAACAAATGGGTATGGCCTGAAAAAGATACAATAAGAACCAAAGAGTTTTTTAATTTTTAAAGATGCTAACGATCACTTACTTTTCACATTAGTTAACTTCGTAGCATGTTTGGCACAATACAGCAAATTTGCAGGTTAATGAAAACGACAGGTTTGTATTTAAGCTTGATGATCCTAACTGGCACATTCTCCAAATGCATTCTCAGAATACTGAAAGTTTGAACTACAGCCCTGAAAGTAATTTGTCTGCACAGGATCTAAAGGGAAGACCAGTAACAGGGCAAGCACAAGACACAGAAGACACAAGGTTAAGATTCTTCATCTTTCTTAAACTCTTCTTATGGCAGGTCCTAGAATGAAACTCAGGTAGAAATTTAGGTGTCACAGAATCATCTAAACAAACAGAATAAAAGTAACATCTCCACATCCCTGCCTAACACCTGCAGTATCACTAGCACCCAACCCTACTGAAGAAAGTGGGTCTTTAAATACTTTGCCAAGATGTGCTGTAGGTTCTGCTGTTACAAGTGGCAGGGGACCCTTCCATCTTTACTTACTGAGCAAAAGCTCTGTGCTCTCTCTCCTCCAACACATCTCCTACAATTTCCCACGTAGGTGTGCCCGTGTAGTTAAGGGCAGCACTGAAAATGATCCATGGGAAGAAGGAAGCAGGCACGCACTGCTCAGTAGCTTCACCAACTGGAGAACTCCCCAGCCTGACATGTGTCCAATTCCGTTCTCTGTCTGATGGACTTAAAAGTTATTTCTCTCACAAAAGAGCATGTCTCTGCTGTTACCTTCTGAATTACTGTAAGAAGCTGGAACCTGCCAGTCTCTGGGTTAAGGTGCACAACTACCCAACTGAGAATACAGAGTCCTGTAACCAGGGAAGAACAAAGGAACAGGAAAATAATTCCCAAACAGGTCTGTAAAGATACCCTGAAGAGAAGGGGGAGACCAGATTCCAGCTCCAATTAATTTTAAATAGATAGCAGTAATAAGCAAGACACTGCTGGCAAGTAAGACCCACTTGTACTTGTGTCAAGAGGCTGGTAAAACAGCATTTTTAACAGTTACCTTATTAAAACATTGGAATAAACAAACCTTTTAAAGAAATATCCATTAGCTTCAAATTGTTCTCTCAGCATGAACTTTCCTCTGTATTCAATAATAAGTGCATCGGGAGGCAAGTCTTTGGCAGCTTTCAAAATTTTCTTGTTTTTCTGCACATAACTCTATAAAGACAAGTTAATTCATGAAGTATCATTTTATACCATTTTCCTATTGCAACTGTAATTACTGCAAATTACACTGTCACGTGTACTAAAGAATTCCACACCAAAAAAACCCTCCTTTTTGTAATTAAACCTCCAGACTCATTTGATCCAAGTGTCCTGTTCCCCTACCTATGCAACTAGTTATGAACTTAGATTCAAGGAATGCTTTAGCCCTAGTTCTTCAGTACATGGCTGAAACCCAATAAATTCACAATTCAAATACATATCCTCAGTGCACTCGACTCTCACCACTACTAGAATAAAACTGCTGCATTGTTTTGCCAAACGGTGTCAAAAGGCTTCAAATCCTTCAAACAAAACATGCAAACATAAAAGGACATTCATGATCTGTTCAAGGAAACAGAACAGGAAAACTACAAAATAATAAAGAAAAAAGAATCCTGAGGGCATTTCCAAACTTCTTATTTCCGTTATCTTTAGATGGAAGGATGGCTTTTAATTAAAAAATACATACCCTGACAATTGGTGAATTCACACCTCATAACTGCCATTGCCAATCAAAAAGGAAGAAGCCTCTATGTAGGCAAAAGGCTCTGCAAGCAGGGATAATCCTCCAAAGAGCCTGCCCCATATGCCATGATGGTCTTTAAGGAAAAGAAGCAAATATGCTTCTATTAATCTGCTACAGAAACTACTCCTCAAGATTTCAGCTACAAAATGCTACGGTCTGTTACATGGCTCTAATTTAAAGCTGGTAAGTAACTGATGTTAAGGACAGAAGACGACACAGCACAGTTTCTTCATTACAGGATGACAAGAATTTAAAAAAAAAAAATCTATCAGTGTCAGACCATCGGCTATCATCACAACGTCCTTCATCAACTGGAAATGAAATTCTATTCTGTCTGAATACCCAAATATCTAGAACAGATGTACCATATATCAAGAAAAATGTGGACAGCCAGCATGTTGACACACACAGAAGAAAAAAAAATTCCAACTTCAATGCTTATGGTTGCACTCGATCTTAAGGGTCTTTTCCAACCTAAACGATTGTATTATCTACTCTAACCACCGTTGACTATTCCTCACAGAGCAGAGAAACAGCAGCAGCAAAGTTTACTGTGTTATGCCCACCACAAAAGGCAGCCCAAGAACAATCCAATGTTCAGGCTAGCACCTTAGTTATTTTTGAGAACTGATATGCAAGTGTAAACATAACCAGGCGTGACACACGGTATAAGAAAATCATTATAAATTCTGAAAAACTTAAAACTCTGATGCTCAGATCTAGTGAAGACAAGATACTGATAATTTAATGGATATTTTTGTCATGGCACAGAAACAGCATGCAGTAACACGACATAGCCCAGCTCGTTACCTCTACTGGAGGTTTGAAAATCAGATTGCTGGTGTTGACTTCTTTTTTGTCATTTCCATTGCCTAATCTCAGAGCTATTTTTTGTGCCTCCCTCTGGACACCCTCACTGTACTGGTTATTATTTGCTTCTTCATAACGATCCATCCATGCCTTGATTTTAGTTTCCCATCCAAAGTTTGAACTGTCAGTAGGATCAATCTCTGGAGCTGAGCCCTGGAAATTAGAGATAAAACCAGGTATTACAAGGTAAGAAAAAGATATTAAAATAAAAAAGTAAGTCTACAACAAAACACAAAATGAAAGGTAAAGGTACGTCACTGATTTTTTTTGTTTTTCCTTTAAGTCTCGTATAAAATTCTGCATTACTTAAAAGTGCTGAGTCGAATTCAGTAGCATTATATTTGTCCTCTTACGTATTTTATTATTTCAGAAATATCACCCGAGTTCAGGAATACATTCCCCCTTCAATAGGGATTCTAGATTACAGTGGGATGAGAATGGAGACTGACAATGCTTCCTCCCACAACTGCACTGCATCATCAATCTGAGTGCAGGAGTTGGAAGGTCAGATCTCCTTTGTGAACATATGCAAATAAAAGGAACTCCAGCTTCAATCCTATAATACATAGATTTGATTTTCCCCCTTCAACTTCAAGGGTCATGCTGCCTCTTTCAATCCTACACCTACTACATTAAGATTGTGACTCTAACGTTACAAGCTTTACACAAATAATTTTTCTCCCCTTATCTGTTCCTCACAAAACAATTTTCTTCTGCAGTGCTTCAGATCCTTCCACTTTTAAAAAAAGTGCCATTGTACCTCCAGACCTCACAACAGCAGCCAGGCTGCAGCCAACCAATGCTCCTTACGGACAGCAGCAGCCAACCAACGCTCCCTTTTCTATCCACCTGAGCAGAGACACTATTAAACATTAATAAAACAGCAAGTAGTTCAGCAATTCAATTTACCTGTTACTGATTACAATTTTTTTTGTGCATCAAAAGAACCATACACACAGACAGCATTAAAAAGGTGTGATGCTAAGAAGAAAACCATGAAAAGAATGAAAGGGAACTTTACAGATACCATTTTCAAAAAGCAAAGAATAGATACTTTCTTCCCCAATTTTGTCTTCACCATTGGCAAGTCACTTCTTACACACGTGAAGTGTAAATTCTGTCCCATTTCTTTTTATCTATTCCAAGTATGAATGAACTATGGGAAATACCTAGTTTTCACACCACGCATATTTTTATCTCTCAGAAAATTTAAAGACTGCTGTAACACTTATATCTTACAAAGCAGAGATCCCAACACAATTCCTTAAACTATGGCGGCACAAGTGAGCAGAGTCCCACCAGACGAACACATGAGGTATGACAGAGCAGAACTGCTGCTTTAGCTTTCAAATGCAGTACAGCTATTTCGTTCTTTTGCTTCTTAGAACTATGAAAACCTGGAACTACCAAGCTCAAATGAAGTCTGCACTCAACTTTACTCCCTTGCATAGCACAAGTGAGCCCTAATTCGTCCACCAGCTCTTGAGAACTAAGTATTCTCAGAATAAAAATTTACACTATACTGTTCTGGTTAACTTTGCAGGACAAAGATCTAGTGCTCATCATTTCAAATCACTACGATGTATATGTAGTATAAAAAAAAGCCCAAATTGCACTCCTGATACTTCATACTATTTTACTAATGTACAATTAAGGTTTAAAACGAAGCAAAACAAAAAATGAACAAACACAAAAAAAATCACATTACCTTTACTCGTGAAGATTTCCTGGATCCTTCTCGAAATGCCTGAAACAAAATTATGTATTTATATTCTTTGCAGGAAATGCAAAATCTCTTAAGGAATTCAACTCTATTAACAGATTAACAGCTTTTCAATGCAGACCATTCTCAATAAAATATGCCAGACTACGTCAGAAGAACAAACTGCAAGGAAATCTCAAGAAGGTAACAGCTTAGATCTCACAAAATAGGTTTTAAAAAACAATTCAGCATTCCAAGCTAAGTGCACACTGGATGACAGATATGGCAGTCCAGGTACCCTTACCTTTCTTCAATATTTCAACACGAGAATCTAGGATTTCAGAATTGAAGGCAAAGTAACTGAAAAGTTACTTATGGAACACCACCTGGTTATCAGGCAAATCTGCAAGTTACCCAAATCCTTCACTACACTACTTGTGGAAAGAGGGAAGCAGGTGTCAAAGGTGAAAGAATTCTCTTTCAAACAAACTCTCATTTCTTACATTATCTCACACAGAGAAGTAACAGAAGGATATGTGGTGTAAGTTTATATCCAGAGCTGTTAATTCAAAAGAAAACATTTTCCTCAAGTTTTCCCAAAAGGTACTGGTAAGTAATTCTGACTTCCAGTTTTAAGGGACAAAATTCTCATCCAAGCCAGTGAAACTGAACTGCAGAAAGCAATTCATTAGTTTAGAAAATGCCTTCTTCACATACATTTTATTGTTTTTACACCTGTAACTAAACAACATATAATGCCAACAGTCTGTTTACCAAAGTAGTTTAACAGCTAACTTTCTGAAAGTACCCTCCCACACAATTTCAATTCAAATAAATGGACATGAAGTCACATCAGGACAACTGACAGCAAACAGTTCTGAACTTAAAACAGTCACAACTGGATACTTTCAGATGCAGAATTCTTCTTTGGGTATCCAAACATCTGCCACAAATTCACCTGTATCAAACAGTCCAGTAAATGCAATTCCTCCTTACAAATTCTGCCTCAATTACAAAACTGAACTTTCATGGCTAATACATGTTAACTTGTATTACTGGGGCAGAGGCAGGGAGGACTGTATCATTTACTGCAGAGTATAACATTTCAATCTAAACCCAGGCAGTTAAGTATTATTAGTAACAATGGTCTGATTTTTAAAATCAGTGTCTCTTGGTAAGACATGTCACATAGCTACGATTTATAACACAGAGTTGCAAAAAGATAAATGACATTTGCTTACTTTTTTACATTTTGCTATGTTCTGTTCTTTCTCTCCGCTCTTTTTCCTTTTCTTATCGTTGACCTTTGTAACTCTTGTAGCAGTTAAAGTAATCGTAGTTGGTGTATGTTGAAAAGCAGTATACAGTTCCACAGGAACCTCATCACCACTCTCTGTTGCGCTGGTATCTCCATCTTTAAAAGAAGTAACATTCTGTAAACAATCAAATACTGTAGAAAGAACATTCACTACTCAATCTACACCTGCTTTTAAAAAACAACAATGTGTACTGACAAATCCTTCAAGTAGTCATATGCAAAATTCACCCAACAGTTGCAACAGCGTGAAAATGAATGACCAATGAGGAGCTGGTAATTAACAGATGTCTGTAATGCCAGCTAAGGAAAAAAACACAACAGATTAGTTCTATTCTTTAAATGGAATTATACCATATTCCATTATAAGCAAAATTAGAATCAGAACAAAAATTATTAAAAATTTGTTAAGTCATTCATATATATTCCTATATGGCTGTTACTTGCAATATGGCTTTAGGATTCTCTCAGATGACGGTATTCTAGAGGGGATTAAAATTAATGACTGCCCAACATTTTCTGGGAAGCCCTATTAATAAGTCATGTGTAAGCTGTAATAACTATTTCAGCTGCAATTTATGGCATCAAGTGTCTTTTTTAGGGTAAATATGTTAATCTAGCCAAAAGCCTTCTCTCCTGAAAATCCCCTAACAATGACATTCTGCTACTCAGGGAACAGAAAAGGGATGGCTATTTCACTCATTAAAACAAGATCATTCACAAACTGACAGACAGTTTTTCTTTGTGCTATGTACCCACAGACCTAAAAGCCAAAGCCTGAAATTCAGCATACATCAGCATTTGTGTCAGACAAATACGCTTCCTGACCTGAAACAGGATTACCCTAGTTCTGTCAAGATGAAAGCCTGTGAAGTACGGGAAGGACTGGAAGAGAGATGGTGCACATAGATAAGAGACTGATGTTCACATATGCTCAGTAGAGACTTCCCAGATTTTAGCAGCTTTTACAAATATTCTGCCTTCACTAAATCTACTTCACAATAAGCAAGATGTTTTCTGAAACTGCATAGAAGCAGGCTTTACAAATACGTAATACAAGAGCAGAGCAAACATTCCTTTCGAGCTCAGAAGGATGTCGCCTTCATCAGTGCATTCAATGGTCCTAATTCCTGAAACCTTCTTTACTAAATAACGAACTCCAACTACTGGTTACTCGGCGTTTTTCTTGCTCACAACACTCCTTGACAGGATTCTTCTGTACACAGTAAGTAATTCAATTTTGGTTGTTCTTTTGAACAATTCATTAGGCACATAATTATACTTTATATGTTGGGAGCTGATGAACTTTTCTGAACTTAAAAAAAACCCACACCACCTAGAAAGAAGGCATTTCTAATCAAAGAAGGAGGAATAGCAGAATAACCATTGACTGAGAACTGAAAACCCACAGCCCTCTTGAAACCGTCAATGTTTGTAGTCCATACACTAGAACCTATAGAATCATTATGTCACAGGCAAATACCTCTGCCCTGCTCCACCCCAAACACCATCTTCCTTAGGGAAACAATACTTTGATATTGTTGTCTACACTGTACCCTAGCTCACTGTAAAGAATAATTACCTCAGCCAAACATATAATTACACAGAGTTGTTTTGAGACACTCCTTCCTAACCTACACAACCTGCTTTCACTTTGAAGAGCCTCTGTAAAGCACACTAAGGGAAAACTTTGCATCCTGGAAGGCAAGATACAAACTCTCCAAATTTCACAAGAAGTTATGGGGTCAGACTCATTTCTCCATAAGCAGAAAGTTATTTCATCAGCACCAATTTCAAGACCAAGCAGCTTGAAGCAACATCCTTAAACAAGTTATACATCTAGATACTGCACCTTAATAACAAACAAAACCCCCCAAACTAATCCCAAAACATTAAGAATACAATTGGCATGGGGCTTAAACATGCTCACTCCACTGAACCACAGCAAGCAATCCAGTGCACAGTAAGCTGCATCAAAATTATACTTTTACACCGGAACAGTAAAACCAACATCACTACATGCAACCACAGGTCCCAGGACAAAGGGCTACAAACGCTGCCAGGGAAAAAGGTGATGTGGTTACGCATAACCACCAAATTTTGTATTGTGATAAAAAAAGCTCATTTTTTGAGTCAACCAACTGATTTACCCCTTGCTCCCCACTGTTCAGCTTTTTATGCAACACAGCTAAAGCAGCAACTCTTGAGAAATCTCTACATTACAAAACCATTATACAAAACTGTATTCTCATATCTAAATGAAAAGCCCTATTATACGTATAAAAGCCCTACATATACACTTACTCATCAAAGAACACCCAAATAACGAGATCTTACCTTTAATCAAACACCTGTAACTTAGTAAGTTACAAGTAACATTCTACTGCTGTTGAATACTCAAAGCATTTAATAGAAGCATTCAAAGTTATGCCACTTTTATTCTTCCTACTTCGAGTCACCTGTGAAAACTGGCCGTTTTACTAACGTCTCCTGGTAGACAGTTCATACCTAGAGCTAACAGTCTGAATGAACCGTGTAATATCAGACAATACACAGAAAATGCATTTATCCAAGCAACCACACTGGCTAAATGAACATTTACTAGAGATATAATACATGACTTGAAATTAGTGTAAGTCACAGTAATTAATATTCTGCTTCCAACTGAGTTTTGGACTAAACAGAATAAGAATTTATCTTTGGTTTTGCGTTACTTTGATACTTAAGATTTACCATTTAGTATTTCTTTTCCTACTGAATGCACAGAGCAGATTTAAAAGACTGATCATCAGGATTAAGGAGGGCTGAACACTAACTTTAAAGGTAGAAATCTCTTCAGTTCTTGCTAAGATTTTTTTTTTTTTTTACTATCTCTCTTCCCTTAAGTTTACAGCAAAAGATCAGAGTGTGGCTACAAATCCTAAGAGATTACTGAAATAGCTCAGACCATCACCTGCCCCTATCCTCTATGTAAATTCAAGTTCATCCTCACAGTATCATCATACCACTTAGTGAACTCAGTAACTCCAAATGAATTATAAACTACTTGTTCTATTATTTTAATAGAATCAGCAAAAATTAACCTTAAATTTAAGAAAAAATAAAAATTGTACTATCTAGCAGCTCAACCAAAACTTCTTCACAAAAGAAGTTTGGTTTTGTTAAAGTAAAACCTGACAAAGCAAAAAATTGTGGTGTTCTAAATAAGGCATTAATGCCTTTAAGGGACTTAAAGCAGCTTAGCACTGCCCAGAGGACAGTGTCAACCACACCAAGCAGCACTATTAAGCCACACACACATCTAGGCCACATCAGACACTTCAAAATTTTCTGGAGGCATAGTAAGTAGGCAGCAGGACCTTATCTACATGGTACTTTTTAAAGAAATCCTAGTGAACACACTTGCATATATCCCAGTAATTCAGAGACATGATTTGAAAGTATAACATGTTAAATTCAGGAGGATGACTTCCTCCCAAATCATGACTTGTAACAGAGCTTAAAAGTATCACCTGTCAATCACGAAACCCACCACAGATTTTGGTAATGGCTGGACTGAACTCCTGACAAGTTAGACTGGCTGAGTTTTGAAATTCTGTAAGTGGTAGGAAAGTTAATTTCCTAAAATATACAGATTGAAATAGGTACTTGCCCTACAAGCCTCAGCTAGTTATCAAAAGCCACAAAAAACTCAAGACACCATATAATTTTATTACTCAAGTTAACCATTTTCTCTCATTGTGAGACCCAAAACCATACCAATTCTTGACACACAAATCTACAGCCAACAAATGAGAACTGGTATTTCCTGTCAAAGCTATGCTAGATTGTTTTACATCTCAATTATGTAATTCTTAGAGACATGAATACATCACCTGCAATGCAATAGTTTTAAGATATCAGTGTGAGGATATGAGTAGTCTATACTATGAAGGAAAAAATGACAGAGCTGTGAAATATTTTTTTTTTCCTAAAAAGGGACTTAGTAACCCTCTCTTACCACAGAAGAAGAAACCTGAACCTTTTCCATCTTATCTTCATTAGCTTACTCAAAGTAGTTGTTATTATAAAAACTGTATTTGTTATATGAAACTTTAACAATATTCAAACAGACTGAATTATTCCACAACTGTAAGAAAAAGAGGCAGTGGCGAAAACCTTTAATAAAACATGTGGAACTGCAACAATTCTGATAGAATGTTATTTTAGTAACAGTAAAGTCAAATAAAAGGCACTGAGTTACTGAACCTCATACACTGAAGGCTATCAAAACTGTAGGAACTGCATATACACTCTTAGGTCTGTGCACCTGATACATACTTACTTTATAACATTTACTAAGGAAAAATCTTTAAGCTTTACTCACCTGACATATTTTCCCTTTTCCTTCGTTGCAACAGCACTGCCCTTTCTTTATCTAAACTCCTGAAATTAAAAATAAATTTTATTCCATTCTTCACACTTATGCATCAATACATCTACGTATTAAAACAGACCTTTTCATAGGTACCATTTTCTATTGACTATTACAGAATAAACAGTAGACAGTTGAATGTTTAGCTACTTAGAAAAACATCAGTTGTGCCCTGTTTCATTCCGCTGTAAAGCACATACAAGTATCCAAATCACTTGAAAACATGACAAAACTTGATAGCTCAGAGGAAAGATTGATAGTTGGTCTATGGATTACAGATAAGAAGGCATTAAACCATTTTCCTGCTTCAAAACAGTCTTCCCAATACAAAACAAATATTCTACAACAAGACGGTCCGAACTATTTCTCAGAAAAAAAGGAGTAATTTATTGGGAATTAAAGTGTTCTGAACACGTGTCTCTTATTCACTGTTTAATTAATAATCTGCAACTGAAGTAAAAGGTAACATCCCATACTCTGTATCACAGGACTACATACCACACAGTCAGAACAAAATGTTGTCGTCATCGTGTCATGTGATTTCAAGTTTGGAAGGTGGAGGGGGGCATACAAACACATTCCAGAGCAAGAAATCCTCCAAGTGAGCAAAGCAGCATAATGGAACGAGGCCATAAAACTGAGACATACTGAGCTGACCTGAAGACACCACTGTTAATGTATGACAGCCATGAAACAAAATATGGGATGGACTGTCCATGTATCGGTCCCCTGAGCAGGGATCCAGGAAACACTCAGTAAGCATTTCAAGGTTTTATCCCTACCACCTACTGAGGTGAAACAGTGACCGCTGTGAACAAGGGAACCGGGACTTGTAAGAACATCTGCATCAGAAATATAGCTCCTCTAACTAGAACTGTCAGGATTATACTGCATAGTTTGTATTTTATCTGTTGGTTGTTCCAGTACCTCCTCTTTTTATACTCTATTCATTGTAGTTCAAAATCAACTCAGCTACTCACCTTGGTTGACAACGTTCACACAGATATATGTCAGGAATATGCTGCCTGTCAATCCCCATGCAGTCAATGTGCTGCCAGACACTTACAATGAAAAAACAAAACAGAAAAAACAACTTTTAGTTTTAAGTACCAGCTTTGAAATTGTGTGCATAACACACACACACACACACAGAGAGAGGAAGAGCCATTCGTTTTTTTATCATGATCTTTACTCATATTGAATACTGCCTAAAACTACATCTTAATCACTGTCTTCACCACCACTCCGCTAGCTGATTTTCTATTCCACTGATCACTGTAATTCCAATCTTGTGACAGTCTCCCGGTGTCTCTCTGCTTCTTTAGACTCATTTTCTCTCTTGGAAATTTTTCTCTAACACTGGAAATAAAAAATGGTAAATTATCACAACAGAGAACAAGAGACAGACAAGTAGCCTCAGCAACATGACTTAGGCTTTACATAGTAAAGTTTTTAAACAAAAGGATTCAATTTCCTTTTACAAATATAATTTTTAGTTTTCTATCTAAATATATATACACAAATATATGGGTTTATCTACTTATATATTTTAATAGAACATATAAATACACACTTTTACACTTATACTCCACATGACTGGTAACAGCATAGGAAGAACTTTAACTGCTTCCCCCAGTCAGGGAAGAGAGGTTGACTGCTAGACTGAAGGCTAACCTAGGGCAGTAGTTAATGCTCATCCTCACATTAATAGAGGGAACTAGGACACAGTAATGGTTGTTATCTTCCCACTTGTGAATTCACCACAACTCTCTCCAACTCCTTAGAGAGAATCTCTTCTTCAAAAGCAGCACACTCTACTTAACTGGTAACTGCCTACAGCTGCACTGCTGCAAGAACATCTAAACACATTCCAAAATAAGGGAAAAGATTATCAGAATCAAAGACCATAAAAAAATTAATAACAGGCTTATCACATAAGCATACACAATAACAGAGCTCAAATTAACATTTTAATTAGCCTCAACAATCATTTTAGAAATACACAATGATCTAATAAATTCAGCAACATTTGTTAAGCACACTGAATGCAGAAATACAGGCTAATACTGAGTAAGTCCAGAAACATGAGATTTGTCTTCTCCTGTTAAGTGTATCTGTTCTACACATTTCTAAGCTTGTTTTTCAAGTCCAAGTATATAATAGCACCTACTTATTCTACTATGATCAAGTAGGTGCTTAAACATTAACACACAAGTTCAGCTTCACCAGTAAGAACCTAGGTTAGTCTCTTCATCATTATTAAAATTCTTTAAACTATGTCCTTTGAAAATTAAGAGTTCTTATCAGAAAGATTATGCACAGAGAAACCAATATTTGAGAAGTTTCTTTCAGATTATTTTGCATCCTGCAAGTTACTTGATTTATATACACACAGTTTACCAAGATACTTCATTACATGCAGATTAAGAACCAGTCCCTAGGTCTTTATTTTATTGTACTAAAAAGTGACCTGGACAAAATACCGAAGAGATAGCATTTTTAGAGGGGAAAAAGATATACCCTTATTAAGCAACAATGCATGAACGAATTAGTACGAGTAGTCAAGACAGACTAGAATAAAGTAATAAATGCTCACTAGCCTTAACCAATTATCTTGCCTATTAGAAAGCCATACAACCCTCAAACACTGTTCTGATAGAACGAAAATTCCTATGACCTAATGTAATGAAAACACCACTTAGTTACACTTACTTTCAGTGCAACTTGAACTTATAAGCAATTTTTACCTTTAAATTCATTTAACATTCATTACCTGCATTTGTCACAACAGATCATATATCCATCATCATGTGTAAAGCCACAAATGCATCTGGTAATATCAGTTCCATAGCTTCCATCCTCTGACGTACTGATGGTTGTAGCACTGGAGGTTTCATCAAAGTTGGGAGTGGTAAATATGCCTACTTCATTCTTGCTTATAAGCACTGATGGAGGAGGAGAAGCTGGAGGCGTTGGAGGAGGCCGAGCACCATAGTTATGGTCCTAAATTTTTGTGGAAAGATAATTTACAGTTCTTAAATGTTCACACACTGATAGTTATTTAAGCGAAAGAGTTCAGTTTGTAAAGAACCTGAGACTTCTTATTTTTCAGTAAGTTTTAAAATTTTCTGTCATTGCTCATTCTTGCTTTTTACCTTCTCAACTATGTTTTAGATGTAAGTGCACTACATTCTGTATTCTGCTTCTAACCAGCCATTTTTAGGCAGCTTACCCAACTCCTAATAAGATACAAAAATATAAGCACAAATCAAAGAGTTTTTTTCCAGTTAAGGACAGCAGCTTTTACATATTTTATACAAAATACTTAGCATGAAACTTACTGCATAGGGCAAACCAATGTAACTGTGTGAATGCGAGCTGCTGGTATACAACTGGTGCGGATAACTGTTCGATTTTTCAACTACCACAGGGCTAGCTTCTACAGATTCTGGTCTGCAAGGCAAAAGAGAGAAGAATAAAAAAAATGTAATGAATATGCAGTTTATATTAATTAATTACAGGTACCTGTTGCACAACATCTAATTAACTGCCTGCTGTTCCTGCTTAAAGGTGGACTACCCCCTCAGCTCCCCCCTGGCCAAACAAAAAAATGCAAAAAAACCCCAGCACCACCACCACCCACCAAAACCCACCCAACCCTCTTATATAAATCAAGTTTCCAGAGTGGCAGACAACTTATGCCTCTCTAGGGTTACACAATTTTTCTCAAAAAGAAGTGCATGCTGAATCATGTGGCATAACCTGCAAATCTGGGACAGAAAAGCACATCACACACTTTGTCAGAAAGTCATCAGCCTGTACAGCCAAGTCTACAGAGTTACAACAGAAGCTGCAGAAAGGACTTCAGCTTAATGATGACAAAAGACAGAAGTAGTAATTCAGAGAGCTACAAACAAGAGCCCTGCATTCCCAGCAATCCTGTTCAATTCTGCCGTGACATCTAGCGGCAGCACGACTGCACCACCCAGAACCCTCCATGCCATACTCACAAGGCAGCAGAGTACTGTTTCTACAAAGAAATCGTAAGCAGGGCAAATCTATCTAAAAAGGCAGTTTATTGATTTATCTTTAAATAGAGGAAAAAAAGAAAAAAAATTTGCAAGAGAAGGTTTTGCAGTGAAAAGCAGTGCCTCCTTTAATGCACTAACTACGGTTTATATGCACTAACCCACAACATGAAAGACAACGCAAATAAAGGAATATGATGTAAGAAATTACACCTTCATTACCACTCCTCAGCAGTTACATTCATGCGTACTTGCACACATAAAACTTGTAGATTTTTCAATGTGCCATATGGATCAAACTAGAACAAACTTCAAATGAACCCAGAGTTAAACGAAGTTTTGTGGGTTTTGGTTTTTTTTAATGGGCTTGAGGTTGGTTTTTTTTGTTTGGTTGGTTTTTTTTATACTGAAAAGAAGGGCAAAATATCAGTATTTAAATCTGAAGACTTCTGACTCACTTCACAAATCAAGCCTGGTTCACTTTTCTTAATTTTACTTCTATTATGTGTGAAGTCTATTTCCCATCACAAATATCTTAATTCCTTGGACTGACTTTTTAAATAAAGATGGTATTTCTGAACTTCAAGTTAAAACAGAGAAGAGTTTTCCTTACACATTAAGAATACTATATAGAGGCTTTTTTGTTATGCCATGAAGTGATACTAGTTTGTTTTTTTTAGAAGGACACCAGCAACTTCCATTTGTTAGCAACATTTCTGAAATGTCCTATTAATGCTTTTGGTGGCCCATTTCTTATAAGCTTGTCCACATGCGAGTTTACTACATGATAAAGTTATTTGAAAAGAAATACCAGTTAAAGATATCACTAGATAAAGACTTTTACCTTCTAGAGTCCAAAGAAAAAAGATCTTTTCTAAAACATTACTGTCTCTAACAGTCACCAGCTTTAATTTTTCAGAGCGAGTGAACTCGTGAGTGAAGAGATCATGAGAAGTACTGACATTAGAAATACAGGTTCTGACTAGCATGAGACAAAACCGAACTGTGACGATACTTGCCCTTCGTTACTTCATAAATCCAGAAAAATCCTCAATTACTCTCTTATACCACTTCTCAATTTGAAAATAATTTCATTCAGTTTGCTGGAATTATCATCTTCTAGAAGCTCAGAATTTTCCAGGTTCATCAAATCACAGTCACAGAATGTTAGGAGTTGGAAGGGACC